AAATAGGCGAGGGTAGAGAGTGGAAGGTATGAATTTAGGGTTTGTTTTTAAATGAAATTAATTGTGATTAAAATTTATAATTAATATAATTGTAATCTGTATCTATTTAAAAAAGTTCTGATTTTTGAAATTTAAACTATGAAATCTGATTTTGGAAAATGGATCTCCAAAAGTAGGGAAGGATGTAATTTCCACAAAAATTTATGGTTCAAGAATTTACTTTTAGGAAATTAAAAATCATGTACAAAAGTTTTAAATTACAAAACTCAGGTTTTTTCATTGATTTATTAATTATATTTTACAATTAATCTATTAAATTAAATATTTAACTATAATATAATATGATCCACCCACCCCACCTCACCTCCACCACCCCACTGCTCCGGCGACTACTCCGGTGGCCGACGGCTACTCCGGCGACTACTTTTCGGTCGCACTTAATTTCGGCGACTATTCCGATGAATGCTCCGATTTTGAGGTCACGGATATCTTACTGTTCCGATTCCGAGGTCACAGAGATCTTATTAAGGTCACAGTTAATTTCATTAGCCACTCATCAAAAAAAATTATAAGGTCACACATATCTTATTAAGGTCACAGTTAACTTCATTAGCCACTCATTAAAAAAATTATAAGGTCACAGATATCTAGTAAGGTCACAGTTAGCTTAATTCAGATAACTGCTCCAATTTCGATTCAATCCCAATGATCTTCGAAACCAACTGTTCATTTATAAAAATACGAAGAGTGTGTTGCATTGTGACAGACAAAGTATTATACACTTAACAAAAAACCATGTATATCATGCAAGAACAAAGCATATACAAGCTTGTTATCACTTCATCATATTAGTTTTGTAGGATGGGATATTGACAAAAAATATTTCGATAGAAAAAATGTAGTGTGTATCTTCAGTTGAACTCCTTTTTTTTAGGATTTGAGGAATTATTGTCGTTGCAGAGGAGCAATTGATGGTGGATTATTCTCCAAATAAAACGATGATCCAAAAATGGATTTGACCTAAAGTTTCAAGGTATGTCCGATCAAAAAATTTACCTACTCAATAGTGAAATTGGGAGATTGTTAAGTTGCGAATCGATCTCATTAAAGAAAGTTTAGAGAAGATAGATGTACGATTTTTCTTGTAAATTTCTTTTTATCATATTGAATTACAGCAACGTCAAAAGAGGATGTAGTCTTGCATTGATGAGTACCTCTATAAATGTTGTGTCTTTATTTCTTTCTACCAACCGATTTCTCTCGATGAAATAGAATTATGATTGCTAATTGTCAACATTTATACTAATGAAGGTCACCTAAGACTCCCACAAGAGGTTATAGACTCTAAAGGATAACTTTTTTTCAGATTAGGGATTCTATTTTTGCCATTTTGTTTAACTTTTCTTTAAAGGAATGTCACCTAACTTATTTTGTTTTGGATGAAGTTGAAAATTCCATAGTGATAAAACAACAGATTGGATCGTTGGAATGGCTTGGATCCAACTACGGGATCTTATTATTATACAAGTTTAAAATCTTACGATAGGATCAAAATACACGTCACCTCATCATTTGTCAACAAATGTGTAAATATCTTCTATACAAGTAGTTTAATTGTTTGAAAATTGACACTATTCAATCTTTGTACGAGCAAACACTTGACCTTACCTTTTGTTGTTGCAGCAGTCAAATCTAAACTCTACCATGCTTGTTGCGATTCGACATAAACAATTGTATTTCAAAAAATAAAAATAAAAATCATCAATAAATTATATATATATATATAGAACCGTTTGGCCACAAAACGGTCAAAAAAATTAAATTAGAGTCCCACAAGCCACGAACCAGCTCGTGGACTTGGCCTACGATCTCAAGAGATCGGTAATGAAAATTTCACTTAGCTCAACCCATGGCTCGTCAAAATACGAGTTTGAGTTATCCATGATCATTTATAGATTCTTTTATAGATTAATGATGTGGGAAACAGTGGTTGAAGAAATTTCGACTCAATCATATCTCACCACATCTTCTGTTGACAAATAAATTTGTAAACGATAATGTACATGTACCCCACGTGCCCGCGCACACACATGACTAATCTCCTAAACATCGATGTTTAGCTTATGCTAAATGCCCATTTTCTAATAAATGGTTCAAATCATTTTATCGAGATGAGTGTTCTATATCGATAAAATATTCATTTGAAAACCATCATTCGAGTGACATGACACACTACAATAAATGATGGAACATGTGATTGAAGATAATTGTTGGTTACAAAACTAATTATGTGTCATATCACCTAGTGCTTAGAAGATCAATTCCAATATATAAGCAATTCATCTTTTTTCTCAGATTATCGGATTAGTCGAAAACCCAAGCATATTGTTCAGTACATCCATTAGAATAGAATAGACACAAACATTGGGCGAACAGCTTTTAATTAAATCAATGGCCATAGAAAAGAAAAACCTCAACTATTCAAGGAATAGATATGAAAAGATTTACACAACACTATTTATTTCATAATATGTAACAAACTTTTAGACAAATTGCCAATCTATCAGTACTCTTCTTTTATTGGAACAAAGACGACTTTGAACAGGGGTAAAGAAACAGGCCTGAACTTTGTCCAACACGACCTCGTCTAAGCCACACTACTAGTCAAGTTTCCTGACAGAAGGGGTTTCCTGTATGCCCTCTCTCAGCAAACATTTGCAGACAACAAATGACGTGTCCAAGGCAATAAAACATGGAAACATATTGGCTGGTCAATGGAGACAACCCACAACATATATATCAAGGAAGATGTACTATACATGGGTAGATTGAATATTAAACAAATGTCGATGAATGTTTAATTGTGAAAGAATTGTATCAAGCACATCCCAAGACAAAATTATCCTAGACTAGAGTTTAATAAAATGCAACAAAAATCTGATATTTATTGTATACAAAAATACCTATATATAGCGAAGTGAAAGTATACTAAGTCGTAGTAAAAAAAAAAAAAAAATGGAGAACGATTCAAAATGATCAAGAGCGCACGGCATGTATAACACAAAAGGCAAAAGATAGTGCTGTATGTTCTTGTTTATTTTCTTGGTCAACTCGAAATCTTTCTCCATAAAGCCATCCACATTCGACCAGTGCATCATTAGTTCCAAAACAAACCAATCGGCTAAATTGTAATAAAAAGTAGACGTAAGCTCCGAAATTCTTGAATTTCTCCTATTTCTGATAAGTACTCTTCTCCAGCCATCCCTGTAAATTTGAAAAATACAAGGCCATCAGACAAGTAGAAAGAATATTTTCCTCACATTGTAGACATCATCCTTCAAATCTATGACAAACTATAACCACCTTAACTAAGATGCGAACTTTCTTTGCAGAATAAATTATCATTGGTTGATTGAATTAATGTCTTTTGTATCCTCTCTGTCAGCCAACATGGATTGGCCAGCCAATTCCTTAACACTGGTATAAACATTGGTCGATGCATCATTCAATGAGACCTTCTGCAAGGATGTAGCCATCAAGTTTTCAGCTGATGCTTGTGAGCCAGAATCAGCGTTAACTTGATTAGAAGTTTGTAACCATTTCTTCCACCCGTTACGCTTCCTTATCTTGTCACCCTAGAAAATAAGTAGAATGACAAAAAATGGATGAAAAATATGCTGCAATAACTTCAGCCAATTTCTGTAATCAACAGAGACGCACAAGAGATGAATTTAGGAAATAGCATATAGCAGAATTATCTGCAGTTATCCTCCATGATTACTCAATTTTTAATCAAACACAGGATGTTCAACCACATGTTGCAGAAACAATAGATTCTTTAAAATAGTATTCCCTCCATCTATCCATCTCATTTCCTTTACCAGATGTCCATAATAAATTTCAGCGTTCTTTTTCATATTTCCCAAATTATCCGTCATTAAGCCAAAAGTGTAAAAAGCAATGTTTTTTTTTTTTAAAACCTAACCCGGCCATCGACAAAGGTAAAATGCAAGGGAGAAACAGTTCAACTGGGGATTGGACGGTCAAAATAACTAAATAAATTACTATTATTATATACAACATTTTAATTTGGAAACATGAGGTCCATGGAATTGAGGAGATGATATACAACTTTTTTCTGGTTTTTTCCCCAAAAAACAGCAGAGCATTGGTGGCTGTTTGATGATCTAACTGCTGGAAGTTTTGCATTTAATTTTTCTTTTTCAAGGTTCTCGTGGTTTTGGGCCTTGGTTACGTCCAAGTGCTGGTTTCATGGGTGTCACCGGATGTGGTTGCCTTAGACTACAGTCTACAGAAAATAAAGTGGACACAGAAGCTAATATGTCTTTGTTGTTTATCCAAAGGTTAAATATGCAAAATCATATAGATCAAAGGTTTCTTCTAAATTGCCGTGCCAATTAAAAACAGAATGTTCAGTTGCAGTAAGAGTACAATAAAACACAGATCCCATTACATCAAAAAAAGCTACCTGAACTTCCACAACTGATGAAGCTCTCAAAGAATCCAAGATTGTCTGAATATTGTGGGTCAATTTCTGCACCTGCAAAAGCACGACATAAAGTAACATTCATCCGTGCATTGAACTAATGAACTTATTCACACTGGTACCAAAAAACCCAGGTATAAATTAAACTCATAGTACTATGAAAAGAGAATCCAAGAAAAGTCACCCTCAAGATATTTCTAGCTCTCCTTTGCAAATAAGAGAGGACAAAATTTATCTTCCTCTCAACCTCATGAGGTATGGGGAAAAATAAAAGAAGGCTTTTGGACGTATCATTGTTTTCCAGTATCATTAAGGAAGACAAAATACTCCAAGATATTCATGATGTTACCATCAAATTCTTTCGATTCTTACAATTGTTTTTAAGAGTTTATATAGCTAAAAGCCAAACAAATTTCAATAAATAAACCTTTCACACGTTTACAAAATAAAAAATTTATACGGATTTCCAAATAGATGAGAAACGATCTCTTTCTCACTTTAGGAGTTACTTTACAACTGGATCTCGATCTCTACTTAGATCTTCTTGAAATATCCCGATGGAAGCCCATGAGCAGAACTTAAATGAGTTGCAAGGCAGGGCTATTTCTACGTCATTAGAGAAGGAAATAAATAGGAAACACGTTATGTTTCATCGTCTTCCTGATTTCTTATCCCATTTTATATGCCAAATCTGATATCAGATTCAGTAATATCAAATAAACACAATCATGCACCCATTGGCATTGACTTAGTATTTGGTAAACCTAATTTGTGTTATCAACCTTATAGGGATCATTGACTTCAAACAGGTCGTACGTAATTATACAAGCTTAGAATTTGAAGCCGTCCAAAATTATGCAAGCTTAGAAAAATTAGATTTATGAGGTTCTAATTAGTACTCACATGTTACCATTCATCATAGCACAAGAAAAACTAAATCTCAGATAAAATCTAACGGAATGTGTATATTTGTAATACAAATTGGGTTTGACTGAATTATGCATTAATCACTATCACAAAGCAAATACATAGATCATCAACATATCAAAAGAACCTTCCTTAAATAAAACTGATATTAGATAAAATGAATTATACGAAGGCGAAAAAAAACTGCAACTTACTCGACGGAAGGTAGCTATTAAAGAAATCGATACCCAGCCCTCCGTGTCCATTTTTCCCCGCAAAAAATAATCTCCTTCCAAATTAGCATCACTGGCAATAATAAACGATTACTTCAACAACAAAGTTTCAAAGAGGCATAAAATGAAGTAAAATAATAAAGGGACAAAGCATCTGCTGGAACGTAATCTACAATGACAAATACCTGAAATAGTAGTCTATTTGCTGAATAATCAAAGCGGGCAGAGTGGTGGGCATAGGTGGTGGAGGTGGTGGTGGAGAAGGACCAAGCTGCATAGTCCTAAAGGACCCCAGAGGCAGTGTAGGATAGTAGATTGCTTGAGGTGCCATATCTGAAAGACCACAAAATGATGGTAACGCAGCCAAATTGTTGAATCATATAGTTATATTGAGCAGTGGACTTACGAAAACCCCGAGAGTCTGCAAAATCTGTCATGGGTGGATGCCTTATGAGCGTGGCATTGCCAGGGGGTGCTGGGGGTGGCAAAAACCCTGTGGGAGGACGAATATACTGATGGGGAAAACGACCATCTCTGCGATCTTGATAGCGCCTGCCTCCATGATTGTTATAATGTGGCCCATCACCATGGCCGCGTTGTCCAAAATTACCCCTTCTCGAGTTATTCCTGTGCAGAGAACGGTCATTGATGGTATGTAATTGAGAACCTCGGACTCCTCCCATTGGCCTCACGCCTCTAACAGGAGTATCCATTACAGTTGTTACCACAGTCGCATGAGGCACTTCAAATCGAATATATGGTGGCCGAACAGGGGGTGGCACTGTGGGCATAATGGAATTAAAACCAGGTTGAGATGGTCCATTCCTAGGAGACATACCACCACCACCTCGGCCACGATGTCCCAATGGCCTTTGTCTAGTCGGCATTGTATGGTTTTCAGTAACATTTGCATTAGCCTGGCCGTTATCTTGCCTCTGAAAAATCACCAAACCAAAAAATTCAATCTTTACACCTTTATCAGAATGAATTTGTCCAACAATGAAGAACGACATAACAAACCCATATATTCATCTTTATATAAAAAAAAATAAAAATAAAAATCATCTTTTCACCTTTAATTAAAAATATGCAACAATGCACACACAATCCAAAACAATATATTGAACACGAACCAAATATTTCGCATGAATATATTTTTCCGCATAATTCTTAAAGTACAAAATAACAAACAGAATTAAATAGGAAACAGAATAGTTCCATACAAATATATTTTTTTCACTTGTAATTCTAAAGTGCAAAATAAAAAAGAAGATTAAATATTATTATATATTTAACCTGAAAAGAAGATGGCGAGCAGTCGGAAAAGGAGGATTCCGATGATGTCGGAACAGGACTGCTAATAGGTTCAGAGAGCGCGGGCCAGGAGACGGCCCCGCCCATAACAGACCCCGGATCAACCACGGCGTTTATGGGCCTGTTCCAAGCGGGCCTCTTCGGGCTGCCTGCATTGCCGTCGTTGACAGTATCAGAGCTCTCGAGCTTGGTCTCCGGGCCCAAATTCTCCATTGAAACATTCTCAGACGCGGACTCCTGCTCTATGGCGGCGGAAATAGGCTGCGGCGACAATGAAGAACTAACTAAAGTGGCGGCAGAGGTCGAGATAGGTTCGGAATCTCCACGAACAACGGATGCCCTCGGAGAAGTCAGACTCCCCCTACGTGACTGTGAAATATTTACGCCGCCGCCGCCGCCGGAATTGGCATCTGTTGTTGCCTTCGACCGTGACGAGTGATCATCGTTAAGAGAATCAGCCGACATGATAATTCCAAAATCAGAAACCCAGACACACAAAATCCCACACAGTATCCACTCTACAAATATTCAATTAATTAAACAAATACATTCGCTTATAAACACCAATGTGTGGAGACATTCAACATGATCAGTAAATATTAATATCAGGAAATTAATTAAATAAGAAATACTGACTCCTAGTCCTCGTCGACAAAGAGAAGTAGGGTTTCGGGCCTTCGGCCGTCGATCAAATTCCCTCTCTCTATATCTCTTTAGTTTCTCTCTCTATAAATATATGCTTGTATGCTGTTTCTGTTTGTGTTGGGCAGCTGTTATCTTAAAAGCCCTCATTAAGATCTCCAAATACCGGTTGTGTCCTTGTTGTCCTATGAGTCCTTTTTTAAAAAAAAAAACCATAATTAGATTTTATTAGGAAATATTAACATGTGAAAATAATTAATGTGGTATTACAATTCTAATGAAACTGAAACAAGTTCTACGGATCATAATTGGATAATATTACCATATTATATTTCTTCTTAACTATAACTTATAAAGGAAAAAAAAAAAAAACTCATGACTCAATTATCTATTTAAATATGAATATTAATAAAGATAAATTTATTTGATTTGTTATTAGAAGTTGTGTGGTATTCTAATACTCGTGAAACTAAACAAGTTCTAGGAGATTAAGCCTTATCTTTTGGAATTAAATTTGAAAGGTTTGTTGGGGGACAATTTCTTTAATTATTAACGGAAAGATTAATGTTTCAAATACTGTAAAGCTCACTACTCTTGAGACGAGTAATGGCTCGATAAATCTATGTTTTTAGTCGAATCTTTCCTTAATTGCTTCTGGAAATGGACCAAATGGAACGACAAAAATAATACTGATGTAATCAAATTTAAATTGATCGTAATTACATTTAATTTGTTACTATTATGAAGTTTGAACGATGAACAATCGAATCAAAACTTGTGAATTCAATGAGCATTAGACTATTAAGATCGGACCGAAAATTGTTTGTGGGCTAACAAAACATGTCGCTCGAGTTAGATCACGGTCCAATTCAAAATTGAAAGTGTCAACAAATTTTGTTTTGATTTAAACATTATTGAAAGATAAATGTTGATCCTTATCCCTCTTAGTTCTATCCATTCTCTGTCCCTTGGCACTTTTTGCCCTTTTTTGTTTCTGGCATTAATTTTCTATTTTTGAAGAATTTAACTAGAATGACTTGTTTGGCCACTTGTCATTTTTTTAAGAAAAAGGGTTTTTGTGTGCCTAGTCAACACTCCTGCTTTTCTTCTAAAGTCCTTGGCATTACTAAAAAGATTTTAAAAGAAGACAAGAAAGTCATTATGAGCGTCTCCCAAAATTAAAAACACCATCGCAACTAACAGGAGAATGATTGGAGTGTTCGAAATTGGTTTATGGGTTAGTTTTTATCAACTTTGATCAGTAATTTAAATATCATTTCTTTGTCGATTATGGATATTTGAAGGCCAAACGCATCCTACTTTATGTGCAGATAGTAATAGTACATATGATAGTTAGAAATCAATTTTCGATGAATAAGAAACTGAAATTGAAATTTACTCGAAGCGTGGAAATCATTGAAAAATGGAATTCAATAAAATTGTGGGAAATTAGGAAAGTGACAATCCTACACTAAAAATGATAAGGAATTGTTTTATATTATTTTTAAAATTTAAATCATATTTTAAAAATAAAAATAAGAAAACATGGCTGTCTTCCTCTGGTGATTCACAGCACAATATGGTCAGAGTAGTTTTGGTTAAACCCATATTTCTTCATTGTCAGACTGAACTTCCCAAACCGTGCTCGAGGTGATTGTTTTAGTTTATGTAGTGCTCGTTGCAACTTGCACACCACTTTGGTGCCTGAGGATGTTGGGTAATCTGGAGGGAGGTCCATGTATACTTCCTCTTTGAGGTTGTCATGGAGAAAGACGTTCTTCACGTCCAGTTGATATAGTGGCCAGTTGAGATCGGCTGTAAGAGACAACAATATCCTGATAATGTTTAATTTAGCAACTGTCAAAAAGGTTTCTTGGTAGTCCACCCTGTGTCTGTGTATACTCTTTTGCTACCAACCTTGCTTTGTACCTCTCGATAGATCCATGTGCCCTATGTTTGATGGAGATTACCCATTTGCATCCCACTATTCGCTTCCCTTAAAGTAATGGAACTAGGGTCCATGTGTAATTCGGTAGCAATATCTCCATCTCTTCTTTTATTGCCTGAGTCCAATTCGAGTCTGATGGTCCTTCCTCAACTCCTGTTGGAACATGACTTGAGGATAGTACATGTACAAAGGCTCTTAGGTGTTTTGATAATCCTCTAGTGGACACATTGTTGGCAATCGGATACTTTGATCTCTGGATAATATTTGTTTTGTAGCTTGCCACGATTCTGCCAGAAAGGTAATGTGTATCCAACAGTGTTATCCACGTTATTTATATATGAGGGTATGTCAAGAATGCTTACCTCAGGAATATTCTCAGAAAATGGGTTTGCAGATACTGAGAAGGGGGAGTTTGGTTCGACTTCTATAGACAGATCCCTCTAGAATGTGCATCGAGTTCTGTGGACTGATCAATATGTGGTGCATTCAACTCCGTCGATTTATCTAGCTTTGTTTCAGTATTCGGCCAATCAAAATGCAACCAATTTTGCTCTTTATCGTATGTCTCTCCTTGAAGACGAGAATTGGTAGTTAGGGAGAAGAAATTTTCGAATTCCAGAAATGTGATATCCATAGTCACATATGTGCGTTTGGTAGAGTGATAATAGCACCGATAGCCTTTCTAGTGTACACCATAGCCCAAGAAGATACATAGGAGAGCGCAAGGATCAAGTTTCATCCGTTGACTTTTGTGAATGTGCATATATGCTACGCAACCAAACACTCGGTGAGGAAGCATTAATATTGTAGGTATAGGGATATGAGATGCCAAGACCTGTAATGGAGTCTTAAAGTTTAAGACTTTGGAAGGCATCTGATTGAGTAAATGTACTGCCATGGATACTGCATTAGGCCTTAGCTTTTGGAACATAGGCTCCATGGAGTAAAGCACGTGCAGTGTCAAGAATATGGCGACTTTTTCACTCAGCGACCATTCTATTGAGGGGTCCGAGAGCATCTTATCTCATGAACGAGGCCATGGTGTTCAAAATAGGTATGGAAGCGCTAATTGTCATAATTCTCCGCCATTATCAAAGCGTATGACCTGGAGCTTGGTCGAGAATTGAGTCTGAATCATAGTATAGAATGACTAGAATACTTTTAGTATTTAATACGTAATAGTTCATGCCAACAAGGACCTTAAATTTTTCATACTTGAGTCGAACTTTTATATTTGAGCATTTAGAAGTGTATATTCAATTTGTTTCAAAAGAGTTTTCTAGAGCTATATCAATAAGTCAAAAATCAGCAATTAACAAAATTTTATATCCAAAATATTTATATAAATAAATGATAAGGTCGAAATTGAATATTGTCAAGTATGAAACAGTGTTATTTAGGCCATAGGTTCAAAAAAGTTCAATTACTAGGTTAGTACTTTGTCTACCGTTTATTCTAGGAACAAAATATAAAAATATGATGAATTTAATTAGATGAAAGTACAACCCATTTTGCATGAATTTTATCAACATATAGACATTTACTAGGAAAAAATTCAATGTTGCGAAAACTAATATCAATAAAAGATGGCCAATTCCACCTTAATCAATTCGATTGGTACAATCATTTTTAAAAAATGTAATAGGTTAACTGATAAAATATATAAATTATCTAAAATGAAATAAAATGAGTAAAAGAAAAGTATAGCTTAGAAAATACAGCAGTCAACTCGCCAAGCCTTGTGGGAGTCAAATAGTAGGATCTTGACGTATTGAAGAAGGATACGAGTGGTTTCAACTCTGAAGAGGTTACGAGTGGATTTCACTTTCAAATTGCGGTAAAGGATGATTAGTTTTAAGTTTGAATCTATTATTTGGGCAAGCTTGGACTACTTGATCCAATGCTTTCAAATAAACAAAATAAAAACGTAACACATTTTTAAGATCTATAGGCTCCAAATATTTTGGGTATGGGGTAGTCACCTTTTAGACCTCATATAAAGTTTGAATATGTACGTACTAGTAGGTTCAGTCCGAAATTTACAAGCGCATGCGCTACTGCCTAGGATCGTCGCCTAGACCTTTGGTCATGACTTAAATCAGTAAATATCTTTTCGGATATTTATTTTGGATTGCATTTGAAATCGAATTTATAACATAACAACGTGGCATGGCATTACG